ATGTTCCATAGCAGAAAAAATGTATTTTGTTGAAAAACACCCTTATCAGCCAACCAGAAGTGAATGCGCAGATCTTCCTTTTCAAGAAGCCGACTTTTATTACCGTAAAAAGTCTAATGGGGATCGTATTAAGCATTCGTGGCTGAGTTGTAAGATAAAGGATTGAAAGCATTTTTTTGCAGCATATGCATTGCCTTTTCTAATTCCTCTTCCTCGTTCACTCATGGTTGTTCTAATTTTCGACATTGCTATCAGGCATCAAATAAGCACGAATCTTCAAAAAGTCATTCTGATGCTGTTAGTGCTTATTTTACAATGAAAACGAATAGAAGCATTGACACATTAATAAATCAGGCTCAAGTCTCCAGAAGAAAGAAGGAGATACTACAAAATATTGAGGTATTAAACTGTATATTTAATATTGTAAAACTGCTCGGAAAACAGGGATTGCCATTTCGTGCCCATGGCCCTAATGAATCGCTGTACAATTTAAATAACATTGAAATAAACCATGGGAACTTTCTTGAAATTGTCCTACTTCTATCACAGTATGATGTTCCTCTTAAAAATCACCTTGATAAATGTGTTCAGGACAGTGAAAAAAGAAAACAGCGATTGAAAGACAGAAAAACATCAGGAAAACATTCAACTGGACTTGGATCTCTTGTGACATTTTTGTCCAATAATACAATAAAGTATTTGCAGCAATAGTTCGAAGCATGAAAAACTTAATTGTGTCTGAAATCGGAGAGAAACGATTCAGTATACAGGTTGACTCCACACAAGATGTTGGAATTGTAGATCAAGCAACAGTAGTTGCGAGATATGTGCAAGATGAAGCCATGAAAGAACGGCTTGTGGGATTCTCCCTGTTAAAGATGCTACAGGAAAAGGATTTCATGAACTTCTAATGTCCTGTTTTGATGTACTTGGATTAGATTTCCAAAAAATTGCTGGTGAATCATTTGATGGTGCAGCAAACATGAGGAGTGCGTATGTGGGACTACGTGCACAGATTGCGAAGGTCGTGCCAGATGCGGTTTATATTTGGTGCTATAGTCATATCCTTAACCTGTGTGTCTCAGATTGCTGTCAAGTATTGGAAGCAAAAAAATTTTTTGGTCTCCTAAATCGCTTGGCAACCTTTATTGGAGACTCCCACAAAAGAGTGAATATCTGGAAAGGCCAACTGGATAGAAGACATGGACAAGAAAAACTTTTAAAGTTACAAAAAATTGGAGAGACAAGATGGTGGGCAAAAGAAAAGGCCCTTAACTGGATTTTTGGTGAAAAACATTCTCTTTATTTAGACACCCTTGAAGTTTTATATGTAATTTCCCAGAGTAACTTGTTTGAATCAAAAACCACTTCTGAGGCCTCATCCCTTTTTCACAATCTTTGTCAGTTTAGGATTATCCAACAGCCAACATATTTTTACAGGTTTTTGATGTTATAGGGCCAATGTCAAAATATCTACAAACCAGTGGCCTTGAC